ATTTAGTCGTGTCCAATTCCACCCGCTAGTTAGGACTCCCCCAATCACACGATGCTATCAACGCTAGGAGGGTGAAGGCTAACACAGGCTTCCTCCGAGACCTGTGAAGCCAACCACCGCTTCTTTTTGAGCTGCCGCTCACGCAACGTCACTGGACAGCCGAACGCGCGAACGTGTATCTAGACAGTAAGGGCATAAAGACTTATCGTTTATTACCATCTCGTTTAAGTTCTAGTTTAGTTTTGCTTTATCTAATAATTTTATTTGGCTACTTTTTGGCTTTAAAAAGACAAAGCTTTCAAATACTAAATAGAGAAACCAATGTAACAAAGGAATACTTGATTATTCAGATTATTAGGGCCAGTCCTACAAAAAATGTCCACAGAATTTGTTCAGTTTGGTTTACAAGTATGAAGTTTTGTGTAGCCACACCTTGAATTAACATCTAGGGTCAGTTTCCTGGACAGTCATTACACCTACTCCTGTACTACATTTTCCTTACAATGAAGGATGTTGTGTAGTCGAAGTCTAGACTTAATCCCTGTCCAGGAACCTGACACCCAGAGTCGGCTCCATTATTGTTGCCACAAAAGGTGATGAAGGTGATAAAGGTGTCTTTACGCAAACTAAAATATAATTTAACATTATAGGACACTTCACTGTCATATGCTTAACCCTTGTGTGGTGTTTGAGTCTGTGGGACCCATTTTCAATGATTACTAAAAGAAAAAATAATGCAATTTATTATTATTTCAACCTCAGATTTCTTGGCATTTGCTAATTTTATATGGATTTTAAATATATAATAACCCATTTTCAGTGTCTTCACATTGTAAACCCCCTGCACATTTATATTAAACATGTGGTGTTGGGTGAACCCGCAGGGAATGAAAGTGTGGAGGTGTTGTGTCCTTCACTCTGTTCTCCTCCTACATGGCCTGCTGTTAGTCTGTGTGTGTATGTGTTTGTATATGTGTGTGTGTGTGGGTGCACAATGTGTACAGACTGCTGACTGGCTACAGCTGCTAAAGGAGATCACAATTTAATTTTTTGTGGTATTTTTACATAAATTGTTATGGCTGTATTGATTTAAAAACCAATAATGTGGTGGGTCCAGCAGACCACTGAGTAACAAACACATCAACACCACACAAAGGTTAACTCGTAAGCAAAGCTGGGTTCTAATTTCATTTTTGATCATTCATATATGGGGTGTAAAAATCTTTAAAAGAATACCACAATATTTTGTAGTGGAAGCAACATCATTCAAAGAAAGCTATACTCCAGTTTCATTAGTGAAGTCCAAACTATTCTCAATCATTCCTACATGGGGTGAAATAATCTTTATTTTGCAGTAAAAGCAGAAGTTGGAAGAAACATGGGTTGAAAAGTGAACACAGAGACAGACATGATTCAGAGTGAACACACTTGAACATCATAAGAGACTTTATAATTACATTCTGCATTCAGAAACAATGTTGAGATGTAGTTTAATTTAACAAACAAATTTAATTTAAAGTGCAAAATGTACATGCAAATTATTCATATCTGCTACATCACTTACACTTATACATGAATCATACATAGTGTGGAAAAATATTTAATGGAATACTCATATTTCCAAAACATGTTGTACTGGAAGCTGAACTTAAAGGCGCTGTGGAAAGACATTCACGATACATGTAATGTAACACCATATGAGACTTTACCGTCATATAACAGTTACAGAAAACAAACATTTCCTCCCAGACTTGATGGGATTGGCTTACAACTTGCAAGGTGTGATATGATTGGCTGAGCTGGGGATTACACTTTTCCCCAAAACTACACAGCAGAGGATTGCTTTCTCCTCAGTTATGTTAGTAAATCTTGGAGCTCAATTGAGGAAGTGATGGGTTAGAGCAGCAGCAGCAGCAGCAACAGCGCCTCCCCCAGTTCTTACCTGGCTATCACAGTGTATTGTGATGTGAATTCAAGCACATGATGGCACAACTAAGTATGAGTAAAACTGTCATTTAGCATGCACCGGTGTAAATCACTACTCAGATATATATGTATGCATAAATATATATATATATACATATATATATATATATATATATATATATATATGTATGTATGTGTGTGTGTGTGTGTGTGTGTGTGTGTGTATATATATATATATGTATGTGTGTGTGTGTGTGTGTGTGTGTGTGTGTGTGTATATATATATATATATATATACAGTGGAGGAAATAAGTATTTGATCCTCCACTGACTTTAAAAGTTTAAATACAAAAAAATACATGAAACGTCTCATAATTTTATGCCAGCTTTATTTTAACAGTGACACACAGAATATCAAAAGAAAAACTGAGAAAATTACATGAAATGAGAAATAAAAATTAATTTGAATTTCATTGAAGGAAATAAGTATTTGACCCCCTAGTAAAACATCATTTAATACTTGGTGGCAAAACCCTTGTTGGCAAGCACAGCAGTCAGACGTTTCTTGTAGTTTTTTTATAAGGTTTGCACTTCAGGAGTAATTTTGGCCCACTCCTCTCTGCAGATCATCTCCAAATCCTTAAGGTTTTTAGGCATGCATTTGGAAACGCGAAGCTTCAGCTCTCTCCATAGATTTTTTATGGGATTGAGGTCAGGAGACTGGCTAGGCCATTCTATGACCTTGATATGCTTCTTATGGAGCCACTCCTTTGTTTCCTTGGCTGTATGTTTTGGGTCGTTGTCGTGCTGGAAGACCCATCCACGACCCATTTTCAGTGCCCTGGCGGAGGCAAGGAGGTTGTCACCCAGGATTTTGCGATACATGGCCCCGTTCATCTTCCCGTCGATGCGGTGAAGTTGGCCTGTGCCCTTAGAAGAAAAACACCCCCAAAACATAATACTTCCACCACCATGGGTTGAAAACTGAACATAGAGACAGACATGATTGATGGTGGGGATGGTGTTTTTAGGGTCATATTCTGTATTTTTCTTCCTCCAAACACGTTGAGTTGAGGCCAAAGAGCTCAATTTTGGTCTCATCTGACCACAGCACCTTCTCCCAGTCTCTCTCGGAGTCATTAATATGTTCATTGGCAAACTTGAGGTGGGCCTGGACGTGAGCCTTCTTGAGCAGAGGAACCTGGCATGCACTGCAGGATTTTAAACCGTTACGTCTCAGTGTATTACCAATGGTTTTTTTGGAGACTGTGGTCCCAGCTGCCTTGAGATCATTAACCAGCTCCTCCCGTGTAGTTCTTTGCTGATTTTTAGCCTTTCTCATGATCAGTGAGACTCCACGAGGTGATATCGTGCATGGAGCTCCAGGCCTAGGTCGATTGACAGTAATATTGTACTTCTTCCACTTCCAAATAATTGCACCAACAGTTGTCACCTTCTCATCCAGCTTCTTACTTATGGCTTTGTAGCCCATTCCAGCCTTGTATAGGTCAACAATTTTGTCCCTGACATCTTTAGACAGCTCTTTAGTCTTGCCCATGGTGGAGATGTTGGAGTGTCACTGAGTCTGTTGGCAGGTGGCCTTTTATACAGGTGACAATTTGGGACAGGTGTCTTTCATGCAGGTAATGACTTCACTGAGATTAGGGTGTGTCAGTGGTCTGTGGGAGCCAACATTAGTCATGGTTTTTAGGGGATCAAATACTTATTTCCCTCAATGAAATGCAAATTATTTTTTATTTAAATATTATTTAATTTTCTAGATTTTCTTTTTGATATTCCATCTCTCACTGTTAAAATAAAGCTACCATAAAAATCATAGACTGAGTACAAACTTTCAAAATCAGTGGGGGATCAAATACTTATTTCCTCCACTGTGTGTGTGTGTATATGCACTGCACTACTTTTTCTCACATAGTGCACTATTCATATCCGGTTCTGAGAGTGCAGGGCTGAGAGTGCGGGGCTGAGAGTGCGGGGCTGAGAGTGCGGGGCTTAGAGTGCGGGGCTGAGAGTGCGGGGCTGAGAGTGCGGGGCTGAGAGTGCGGGGCTTAGAGTGCGGGGCTGAGAGTGCGGGGCTGAGAGTGCGGGGCTGGAGTGCAGGTCTGAGAAACCAGGTAATTATGGTCCAATTATGTGCATTCTATTCTATTGGTGGCTGCTAAAATGCTTGGACTAGATAAGAATAAGCTCATGGTTAAATGAAGTGAAAATTAAATGTTTTTGCAATGATAGCAGCGCTATGCTGGTTAGAACAGCAGCCCTGAGAAGCAAATTATCAGTCTGAAGCAGAACAGTGGCATCTTCTCCACAGAGGAGCATTTGGGTTGGAGAAAAGAAGAAAATCAAGCAGAGGAGAAACCAAAGGAACCAGAGAAACCAAAAAAAGAGGAGAAACCAAAGGAACCGGAGAAACCAAAGGAACATAAAAGATTGTTCCCCAACTCATTTCTTTTCTCCAAGTGGGGTGGTGATCTCACAGAGGAGGAGCAGAAGGAGGCACAGCAGCTCTTTCAGGATTATGGCTACAATGTGTTCCTCAGTGACAGACTGCCCCTCAACAGGAGCATACCAGACACTCGAGACCCCAAGTAAGAAAATAAATACATAAATAAACCATAATAAATAAAGCTCCCAGCAGTTCAGCTCCTTTACTGTCTCCATGCAGATACGTCACACTTTTTAAATGAGACAACCAGAAAAAATCATTTTCAGATATACTTAGTGTATATATACATCGAATGAATTTTAATGGCTGATTCTACAGTTAAAGCTTTCTAAAGTTTTTCTCATCAGAAAATATTTTGAAAGTAATTTGTTCTGTAAATGTTAGATAATAGTGGCTCTAAACATTTTACTGTGCTTAGATAAAGAGTTTTTTACTATGTATGTGTTGAAAAGTAAGTACAGTTTTTATGTCTATGATAATATAATGAAAAGTTACATTTATTAAAGTTGCACCTTCTCACAGTAACTAAAAGGGGCGCCCTGGCCGAAATGATATAGTCTCTAGGGCAGGGGTTGGCAAAATGCAGATCTTTTACTGCTCTGTTGCGGTAAATGGTCTTAAATGCTGGAGTTAATGTAGAACTGCTAATTTACTCTTTAACCTTGAAGGTTGGCATGTAAACTGCTGGTCACCATAACAATGACAACAGTCTCACCTAGCTAGTAGCTAACAAAAAGGCAAAGATTTAAGATGCACATCGATAATTTGGAGACTATGGACTACATTTATAATCACTCCAGCTGCTTTCCTGATATGTTTAATCTACGACGAGAAACTGTCAAACACTAAATAGTTGTGAAGCTGAAGTCAGCTTCTCATTCGCCAGTTTCTTGTTCAGATTGTCCCGTTCCACCTTAAATCATGCAGCAGTTACATCCTGGCGTGTCAGGCACCGTTTAAGGTGGAACGGGAATATTCAAAGAAGAAGAGAATGAGAAGCGACTTCAGCCTCGTAAAAAGTCAAACGTTGGCAGACATTTTATAAGAAACTGTTCCACGTGAGCCGAACAGTTTCCTGCTGGAGATGCGAGAAAAGCGGCTATAGGTGAGCTGAAGCTTAAGGCAGAGCGATTTTTTGTTTAGATTATTTTGGCCTATACTAGGACATTAGCAAATACTGAGACATATTTACAACCAAGATGGTAAAATGGACATAAAATGTTGTGGTTTGATTTTTATTGAAAGGACAAAATGGCTCTTCTTAACATTTGGGTTGCCGACCCCTGTTCTAGAGTGAGATTCTCCTCTTTAAAGACTAGGAAAACCCCTTCTGATGATGCATGTTGAAGGTGGGAGAAACTATTCAGGGGCGAAGCTACAAAGGCTTTGGGGTCGATACTTGAGGGCAGGCGGTTTGAATTTTTTTCCACCCTGTCAGCAGTCAGGATTTCTTTATTTCAGTAGATAAGGCGGGGTGGGGGGATAATTCGTGCTGGTTAATGCTAATGATGAAAACACAAAAAAGGATACAGAATTGTGAGTTCTGTTAACCTGTTGAGGCTGAGGGATGCAATGCTGCGCTATTAAATATTAACATCATTATTTGATCATCCTAATATTAACCACAATACAGAAGCATGACTGAATATTGGCAGATTTTGGATTCAGATTAGACTAGATAACAAATTCTTGAATGCTGCCTAAAAAGGTTAAATGTGGCCCTAATTGAAGAGTCACCTAAACATGTGTTCTTCAGATGTCTAGGCCGACTTCCTGAAGACATTAACTGTGTTTCTGGTCACTCAGATGTGCTACTAAGGTTTATCCAAAGGAGCTCCCAACAATCAGTGTGGTTCTGATCTACATGGATGAGGCTCTGTCTGTCATAAAGAGAGCCATCCGCAGCATCATTGACAGAACACCTCCTCACCTGCTCAAGGACATCATACTGGTGGACGACCACAGCACTAAAGGTCTGTAACTTCACTCACAAGTCTTAATATCATATACAGTAGGAGCTGTGCGATTGTCTCTCCAAAGGTGCAAAGGTGACACCTGCGGTGCCTCTCCGTTCACTGACCACCTTATCTTTACCTGCTAAACAGTCTTGATAAACATCCACAGATCATGTACAGATCTGGGGGTCAGGGAATCATTGACGCAGTGCTGGGTTTAATCTGTTTTTAATCTGAAGTGTTTTTCTTCATAGAGAATCTCAAGGGCAAGCTGGATGAATATGTTGATTTAATTCATAAAGAGAAGCCTAATGTAATTAAGAGGGTGATACACAAAGATCGACAGGGTCTGGCACAAGCACGCGTTTCAGGATGGGAGGCAGCTACTGGTGATGTTGTGGCCATTTTTGATGCCCACATTGAGGTGCATGATCAATGGTAAAAGGAATTCTTACAAATCCATTGGAGATAATCTCTTTCTTTACGGTGGTGGTGACAGGAACTAGGGGTCGCAATGTCTACAACGCAAATATATCCATTTCATTTTCTGTTCAAAACATCCAGTGAACGTGTAATATTAAAAATAGTGGTTGATTTATTTTTCATTTTGCCTAAGAATGGCCTGCATGTACCTATCTGCTATGAATGGATTAAAGAAAAAGCATTTTAGGCCAAAATCTCATCTAAGAACAGTCCTAAAAGTCTCAGGCATTTGGCAGTGCATTTAGTGTAATAACTTCATGTGATTAAGCTTGCTATTAAATGCTTCAGACGTCTGGTTCCCATCACCACCACTGTGGACTTGGTAATTTTCTCTAAAATGAAGCTTATCACATCAAGCCACATCTTAACCATTTAATTATGCAGACAGTTTGACATATCAGTGGAATTCCCCTTTAAGTGTCTTGATTAAGGGAGCAGTAGGTGCAGCTACAAAAAGTATGTCATTTAGCGTGTTATCTGCTTGTTATCATTTTGTCATTACAGGTTAGTTTTGTGAAACTTAATCAAAATTTCATCCCACACTTTTTAGGGCAGAGCCACTGCTGGCCAGAATAAAAGAAGACAGGACAGTGGTGCTGAATCCAGTGTTTGACAGAGTGACCCCTGACACCCTCGAGGTGGTTAAATACAATGCAGCCACCCATGGTTTTGACTGGCAGCTCTGGTGCTTGTATGAGTCCTTCAGTCCAGAGTGGTACAAACTTAATGATGAGACAGTGCCAGGAAAGTAAGTGACACTCAGTGAATAGCATCGCTTTGCTTATACATGTGAAACATGTTGTGGATACCTGTAACACTTCAAGTGATGGTTTGGCCAAAAATTTAATTTACATAATTTTCCTCATACCTGAAACATAGTCAATCAGCCAAGACATGTTTTGTTGGTGTGGTGTAGTGGGTAACACCACTGCCTTTTATGTGACATACTGAGGTCCAATTTTCTGACTTGGCAAACATTCCGCACCACAAGACTCCTAACGCTACATTTGCCTACATCTGTAACATGATTAGAAATAAAATCATCTGACGTTTGCTTTTTTCCCTGGAGCTGCAAGGTTAATATAACTAACAAGTAACAGGCTTATACTCCACCAATTAGCATCATACAAACTACATGTTTGTAGAAAATTTGGTTTTCTTGTCTGAAAAGATTTTATCACAGGGAAGGGGTTTTAGACACATTGTGCGTAAGAACAATTCCTATGACAAAATCACAGTAACACATGCCCTCTTGTGGCTTATTGCTTAAATTTATTTCATTTTTTTTCTGGTTCTAGGAATACAATAAAACCAGTGTGTGAAAACTCCCCAGTAACACTTTTTGACATCTCTTAGCCTAATAATTCAGATGAATTTACTGCCACCATCACTCTCACTGGAGGTTTATTCTTAAGAGTTTTGTTGTTTTTCCTTCACTTGAGGGAGGAGGTGTCATTCAAACCTGCATAAATTTGATATTTAGCCAAACCATCGCTTTGAAAGAAAACATTGTAACATTGCTAATAGTAAATGACAGGTAATGTGGCTTCACTGGCATACTGCCACCCAAAGAAAAGAATACTTTTAGGAAAAATAACTCCAGTAAGCTATTTTAGGCGCATTTGCATCATTTTGGTTCTACATCTAAACATTACTGTGTCTCGTTTGTACATATGAATGCAAACATGCCCATGTAGGTCCGGTGTGGGGCCACTGTAGGCTAAATATTGGACCCACTGTGGGCTGCCCAAGGTGAGGCCTCAGACTGTTGTGAAACAGTGGGCACATATGGGCTCAAATTTGGCAGCCCACCGTAAGCCCTGACATGAGCTTTTAGTGTCGGCCACCAGCTCGGTTTCATGACAGACCAAGGCTCACACTGAGACATTGACCCTGAAATGATGTTGATATGTCGGATTATCTGTATCCTAGCTGCTGTCTACCGCCCATTCAAATCAGTTAAAGGCCCACAGTGGGCTAAATGATGTGGACCCAATGTGGGGTGACCCACTGTGTCAGGTTATCTGTGGGCTACCCCAACAATGTACTGCCTGTTTAAGGTTATCTGTGGGCTATCCCAGTGGTGTACTACCGACTCAAATCCATTAAGGGCCCACAGTGGGCTAGCTGATGTGGGCCCAGTGTAGAGTGACCCACAGTGGTCCTGTGTCAGGTTGTCTGTGGATTAACTCAATGGTGTACTGCCAACCCAAGTCTTTTAAGGGCCCACCGTGGACTAGCTGATGTGGGCCTAGTGTGAAATGACCCATAGTGGGCCTGTGTCAGGTTATCTGTGGACTAGCCCGGTGGCGTACTGCCCAAACAGAAACCCTTAAGGCCCATTGTGTGCTCAGTGATGTCGGCCCACTGTCAGCTGGAAAATACCGGCTTATCTGTTGGCTAGCCCTGTTCCACACAACCCACAGATAGCAGGAACACAGGCATGTTTTCGGGGTGGTAAAACTCATCCACTTCAGAGGCAAATGTGAATTCATTACTGCTGTTGTTGTCAGGAGTCCGTCCATCATGGGGATCATTGTGGTTGACCGGTTATTCTTTGGAGAGATTGGAAAACTGGACAAAGGAATGGAAGTTTACGGAGGCGAGAACGTAGAGTTCGGAATACGAGTAAGTTGTCCCACGTGTCTTGACACTACAATCCAAGCATATTAAAATATGTGAATCTGATGAGTCTGGTCTTTGCTTTACTGTAGGTTTGGCTGTGTGGAGGAAGCATTGAAGTGGTGCCGTGCTGCAGGCTTGCCCACATAGAGAGGCTCCATAAGCCATACGCACTAGATCTGAGCACGCCAATGAGAAGAAATGCACTAAGGGTGGCTGAAATCTGGATGGATGATTTTAAAGCTAATGTTTATGTTAGCTGGAATCTCCCCTTAAAGGTTTGTAACTGAAAGACCTGAGCATGTTGTACTTTTTACAGTACTGAATTTTGCTGCTAAGGATTGTGTTTCAGGTAGGCTTATAAACAGTTCTTGTTTTTACTGAGGTGTGTTTCTCTCTGTGCAGGCGATATATTATTGTAATTTGTTATAATATAAAATAATATTTAAAAATGTATTAATAAAAAACAAGGCTAGTCCAAATCCATGCAGCATGGGAGAATGGCTGATAAATAAGTTGTCACATTATTTAAGTTAAAAGTTATGCAAGACATGTTTGCTTCGCCTTCCCAAAAAGTAATAGTGAAATAATAATAATAATCATAATAATAACAATAATAATAATAATAATAATAAATCATTTTCTGGTGAAACTGCCATCTGAACCCAAGCTTGACATCATTGAAATTACACAAAGCATTTGTTTCCAGATGCACAGATAAGGTCTAGTCCAAAAAGTAATTTTTAATTATATTACACGATTTGTGTGTAAATCTTTATTCTCAGTTCCCATCACTGGAAAATTGTCACTCAGATTTATGGAGAACATCTGAGTGCTTTAAACAATGAGATATCACAGAAAGAGTTTGTTAGGAATATTGTAAGGTAATAAAATGATTTATTATGTTTCCATTAAGAGCTATACTGTATCTAAGAGTCATATAGATCCTCAGTTGTAGGTAAAGCTATATATAAAGTCTACAACTGATATAAATTTTTAAAAAAAATGATGGTGAGAGTCTATGTTAAACAAAACAGTAAGCTGAGGTGGAGATACAATAATCCTTTGATTTGAAACAGAGGCACAGTGAATTCTACATTAAAACAATTTCTGTTTGTTGCTGTTCAGGGTCATGGAATTGATATAGGGGACATAACAGAGAGAAAGAAGCTGAGGGAGACACTAAAATGTAAGCCTTTCAAGTGGTATTTAGACAATGTGTATAATCTGCTTGATTCCTGGGAGGACCTAGTCGGCTATGGCGTCGTAAGTAGCATTTATTTCTTTTATATTTTGTTCATTCTACGTATTTCAGAAATGAAAAGAGCATAAATTCTAGGTTGGCCTTTCTGGTAATATTTGGAACACTATTCAGTGCACTTCAGCGCCTGATTGGTTCTTTCTCTGCTGATCTTTGACAGATGAAGAACAAAGTAACAGACAAATTCTGCCTTGATCAGGGACCCGTTCCAGGGAGTGTTCCTATTATGTACGAGTGCCATTACCTTGGCCCTCAGGTATGTTTTCTGAAAACTTTTTGACAGTTGATGAACAAAATATCTCAGCATTTTTTTTGCATTCTGCATTTTGCATGTTTTGTACATCACAATATTTTGTTTTTTTTTTCCAAGGTTTGAACAGACAAAAATGGACCAGAAGGTCCATGTTTAAAAAAATACTATAAAAAATATGAATACAATGATGTTTCACACACTGCCCTGCACTAAATCCAATTAAAAAGCACTAATTATGCTCTATTTGTAACAAAGCAGGCAGTTCAGTATTCTTGTACTGACAATTTCAACAATATCAGAAAAGCATATTGTTGCCTAATTTATCACAATACCAAAAAAAATGTCATATCACCCACCTCTAATTACGGTTAAGATGAAACTGAGACTTGATACATTCAATCACTGCAGTATTTGTTGCTGTTTTATCTACCTTTTTTATACAGAACTGTTACTACAGGCTGAGTGGGGAGCTCTACATTGGAGGCATCAGATCTCGTAGGTACCATAATAATCGTTGCCTAGTGGATCCTGGTAATGGACAAATACCTGGACTGCATGACTGTAAATTCGCCAAGGAGAAAGGGTTCCACATGTACTGGGACTTTAAACAGGTATTTACTCTAAACAAATTTTAGCTACAGTGTTTTCAGTGGCCCTGCATTGCACTATTTCTTGTTTTCCTAGCTTAACACACAAACCACAGTGCTTCCTGAACAGAATGAGTTGTGTAAAGACAAGGTCTCCATCTGCATAGTTGAATGAAACTTCCTTTCCAATCTGCCATGATTTCACTTGATCTGCGGCTCATGGCCTCACTAAATTTATTGGTAGAGTTGACTCGCAGGAGGATCCACCTGGCTACTACATCAGGCAAAATCAAGGAAAGCATTTAAGATAAGATTAGATAAGATAATCCTTTATCAGTCCCACCACAGGGGAAATGTACAGTGCCACAGTAGCAAAGGGAGAGCAAGGCACTCAAAAAAGGGTAACAAGAAGAGAATTAATAAACATGGTATGAATCTTGTGGCACAGTGGGTAGTGCTGTTGTCTCACAGCAAGAAGGGCCTAGGTTCGATTCCTGGCTGGGTGATCAAGGTCCATTCTGTGTGGCGTTTGCATGTTTCCTCCCACAGTCCAAAGACATGGAGTCAGTTCAATTGGACATGCTAAATTGCCCCTAGGTGTGTGTGGGAGTGTGAATGTATATGTCTGTGTGTATATGTGTGCCCTGCGATGGACTGGTGACCTGTCCAGGGTGTTTCCTGCCTTCCGCCCAACGATCGCTGGGATAGGCTCCAGTTCCCCCCGTGACCAAGAAGGATAAGCAGGACATAACTGGCCCTCTTAATGAGTTTGTCCAGTCTCTTCCTGTCCGCACTTGAGATGCTGCTGCCCCAGCAGACCACTCCATAAAAGATGGCTGATGCCACCATGGTGTCGAAAGGAAAGGATGTTTCATTTGTCTATTCAGACACAGCCAGGGAAAGCACCAGAATGTCTAATTCAAAAGGAACATAAAAACAATACTAATCATGTTAAGGTGTAGTTATAAAGCCAGTACTTAAGCAGGGAAAGTTGAGCCCTGCAGTTGGAAAACAAATAAGCAGTAAGGCACATTGTGTGGTCTTAACTCCAAAGTTAAGTGATAAAATAACTTTTGTGATAAATAACTACTGTGTAAGGTGTCTGTCTTTGCTTTACCTACAGGGACAGCCAATAAGGAACAGAGACACAAACCGATGTCTTGAGGTTACCCAAGGACAGGATTCGCAATACCAGCTTGTCGTTCAGGCATGTAGTGGGCAATACTGGAAGATACATAATGTCATCAAAGACTTTTAACCGGTCCAAGGCCAAAAGAAATGGAATGTCTGCTACTGTTTTAACTTATCAATGGACTCTGATTGGAATCACAGGACTAATGACTAGTTACTGATACTGTTTTGTACTTCATATAAGGCTGTGCATCACTTTACAGTCTAATTCCTGCAGTACACCCAATGTTATAATTCACTGTACATCACATGCAGTTACAAAATGTTCCATGCAAATGTTAAAGTTCTCTATGCAAATGGATAGGTACTCTTTGGCTTTTATAAATGAACCAATATGTTACCATTTGGTGCTACTAGTAATGCCTGACTCTGGGTTTTCTGGAGTTGACCCTGACTCTTGTCAATACAGTTGAAGAAGTCTTCCTGCTTCCTTGCTGTTAGGACGCTTCTCTGCTTAGCTCTGCTATCTTTCATTTCTTTTAAGGTGACTAGATTTCTGAGATAAAAAAACGGGGACATTTTCAGGTCGGCGGTCAATATATCCTTAAAATATTCAATGTTTTTGTCTATGGAATAATATGTTTTTTCATGATGGTAACTGTGGCACTGTAATAAACTATGGTGAAGGTGGAGTGATAAAATTGGGTACTAAGTAACTTTGTAAACCTTGTATACTGACTACCCACATTTTCATACCAGCCCTACTGTCTCTCGCAAAAGAGAGTTTTATCTCAATGTGACATTAAATCAACATTATCCCAAAAGTATTGTGAATACACATCACACTTTAACTGTAGACATAAAGACTAACAGCCATAGCTTATGTGTGGTAGATGTAAGAGGAAGGTGGGAACACAGTGTCCCCATAACCGTAGTAACTCACCTTTCTAAATGTGACTGCCCAGTGTTTAATGGGCTGGCCTAATGTCTGTGTACCTGTGCGCAAGACATAAGAATTGATCCTCCAGACACAAGGCTGGTCCCCTGATGTGAAGGGTTTGGATTCTGCACCACAAAAAATTCAGTTGTTGTATGAGCCCATAATTCATATTCATATAAAACATTTTGACTGTAAAAAGAGACCAGTGGCTGCAGAAAAATGTGTGGCTATAGCTCAATATCCAGACCCTAAACACACCCCCAACCCCAAAATGCACACACAATCCCTTGGTTACCCTGTATCTTGAAGACATTTGTGGTGATGTTATCAACTCACTTGATACTGGCTAGCTTAGAGTTTTACACAGCAGTATTCTCTAAAATTAGGTGAGCAAGTGGTAGAAGTGGTCAGTAGACCACTGTTGGCAAAAACGAGCACAGTGCAAGACATCTGCCTGTCTGCTCTGCTCCCAGGTCTTTTTTAGGACTTTCCGGTGTGCTTTTAATTCACAGTTAAAAAGGGGGACATTTCAATGGACAGGCAACAAATTACGGGGGCTGTCCCCAAAAAGCAGGGACATCTGGTCACCCTAACTTCTTTTCTTTATGTTTCTTATGTTGTTTTGAGCTATAGTGTCTGGAGCTGCTATTGTAAGTACAGCTGGCATAAATGATCAATGTGTCTACATTGGTGCTAAACCAAACACTTTGCTACTAATAGCTTTGTAGTCTCATCTTCCATCCTCCACTAGCAAAGCATGTCCTGCTAATACTAATGCTAAAGCTGCTGCTCAGAGACCACAGTACAAAGCCGGAGCAGAACACTGGTCCCAGTCACATCATTTACTGAACAGATTTGAACCACTGCAAGGCCCCAGTAAGTTTCCTAAAGGCACTGAACATAATGCAGAAAGAACTGAAAGTGTCAGCCAATCAGAGTATTGGATCAAACACTTGGCTACATAAAAGCTGCAGGTCAAATGGACTGAATTTTATTGATAACTTTAACCTGCTTTCTTGGAAGAGAGAATTTTTTGGCAAGATGGACTATACACCAACAAGAGCAGTGACAAAACCCTGGCAGAGAACCTCATTTTCTCCATGTTTCTTATCCATCCTCACTGGTGTAGACACATCAGCACTAACACCCAAGGACTCTGTCGTCACTCCAGAGCCACCAACATCCTCCCCTCACTGAGAAAGCCCTGACGGAGCTGCATTTATGGGATGAGAGCCATGACAATGACCAAACTGTACCAGCTTCTGAAGACAGCAAACCCACATGAGCATCCATCTCCACCCCCTACCCCACCGGACTCTCCCAGCAGCCATGGAGAAGCTTGTATTATCTGGGATGAGGCCGTCACTTTACCTGTCAGCCAGCCCTGAAGCACCTCAAAGAAAGAGACAGGCTCTTCCCTCTCTATCCCATCATCAGCAGTTCCACCCACCTTCCTCCACTGAAAGGGAAGAGGTTACCCATTCCCTAGAAATATGATCAATTTATGTAGACATTTTACAGGTCTGTGCTGTTATGGTGATGATGTCAGCCATACATGTTTTCAAAATAAGTGCGGACCCTTTGTGCCAGTGATCTCTCCTATTCCAGTACTTATCAGAAACAGAAAAAACATGTCAGATAATTTGAACTTATCCAGTCTGCAGTATGTAAAATATGAGTCAAAGAGTTTAGAGCAAAGTGCACAGGTATTATATCAATATTAGATCCCTCACAAAGGAGTCTTATGTGATGCTTTTCACAAAAACTCGGTAAAATAATATACTGCTGAAACCATATTAATTGAGTCAGGCCCACGAAACTTTAAGTTTATAAATGTCTCATGTGCTGGCATGAAAGATGTGGTACAGCTGCTCTACTCGATGATTCTTTTTTAATGCAAACAATTATCATTTGATGAGTTCACATCCTTTGAGTATCTCTGTACTCTGTTCTGAAAGGGGCACCAAGAATATTACTAGTAATTGTTTACAGGCATCCAAAGTACAATGCCAAATTTATTGATGTTGTCTTTCAGTTCCACTGATTTTGATCATATTGCTGTTGCTGGTGATTTTAACACACATATTGACAATCCCAAAAAGAATTATGATAAGGTACCATATTGGACTCTTTTGGTCTCAGCACGTGACTCATTGTGAAGCCTCTCTTAAAAAAGAAAAATCTAGAAGCAACTCAATTAAGTAATTACAGACCTATTTCAAATCTACCTCTTATTGGAAAAATCATTGAGAAAATCATCCTTAAACAACTTACTGGTTTTCTGTTCTTAAATAGCTGTCTAGATAAATTTCAGTCAGGATTTTTGCCTAATCAAAGTACTGAGACTGCTCTAATTAAGAATGACATCCGTTTAAATACAGACTCTGTTCTACTGCTACTCAATCCATTAAATTCTCAGAGATACAATTAAATACTGGGTTGGACTCTCAGAAACTATCCTAAAATGGTTCAGTTCATACCTGCAAGACAGAAGCTACTTTGTTGAAATAGAAAACAATGTTTCTGAGAGAGTGCCAGTGACCTGTGGTGCCCCCCAGGGTTTGATTTGTGAGCTGCTCTCACTGTAGGATATCTTAACCTACAGCTATGCAGATGATACTCAGATATACTTGGCCTTCTTCCTAAACAACTATGGTCCCATTGACTCGCTTTGTACGTGCCTTGAGCACATCACTCACTTAATGGGACAAAACGTTCTGCAGCTGAATAAAAATAAAATTATCATAGAATTATTTTATTTGGGAATAGCACCAAGAGGCACAGACTAGCTGCCTAAATGAAATTGAGGACATGGATTTCAGTTTTAGCACTCATGTCAAAGCAGTTACTAAGAGATTTTCCAACTAAAGCAGGCCTGGAGAGACTCATACACACCTTTATTTCGAGCAGAATTGATTGCTGACTTGGTCTCTTAAGTGCACTCCCGAAAACAGCTTCCTTTGATTCAAAACGCAGCTGCCAGAGTTCTCACTGTTTTTCAAACACTGTTTCTGACAAGCTGGGCAAGCCTTGGCCTTTCTCCTCGATTGCTGCATCTAAGTCTGGCCACCAAAATTAGTTGCAAGCAATCTTCTTCATTCTCACTACTCCACAGTGCCCTGAGTAGACACCAGGCATCTTAAGGGTAGAGGTATTACAACTGGGTAGCCCCCCAGCAAGCAACCAGACTGAACTGTTCTGAGCTTGTTGTGAGCTTGTTCCTTCTGACCACGTAAGGATTTAGACATTTTGTCATCTCTCCTCTTCTTCCACGAAAGACACTGTTTTGCACCGATGTTATCGGGGCATTTAGCACTTCTCTGAAGTAGAAGATTTCAGCCTGCTAGTGTTCTGTAGGCCTGATGGGCTGAGGGAGCCTGGAAAGACCATTTGCATTGCAGTGGTGTTCAAACAAGTACTCAAAATGCTCCACAGACTCATCAAATGGTCCAATGCTTCTGACTAGACTCGCCATTTCCCCCTTTTTCCTCCAGTAAATGAAAACGTTTTTGGTTTCCTTAGTTTGGCTTTATGTGTTGGATTTGTATTTCCTACTCACTGCCTTTAGTACTGTGGCAACCTGCTACTGGCTTGGGCTGCCTTTAAGAAGCTAAGGAGGTGTAGCCATGTGAGCAGCTGCAGGCAGGGGCTCATGGTAGGCGCACACCCTCCTAAAAGTACTGTTTATTGTTGTTATAGGTGTGAGTTGGTTATATTTATTGTGTATGGTGCGGGTTGTTTGCGTATGAGGGGTCCCACAGGGATGGTTGTATGTTATGTGCCTTTTTGCTCTGGTGTTTAATAAAGAGAACTTTATTTGTCTGCAGTGTTTTCTCTTCAGTATTTCTATTTCAGTAGTTCTCTAACCAGTAATAAAACCCATGCTGTTAATGGTCAGTCTGTCTTTCTTCTTTTTTTGTATAACACTTGTCAGCAATAACAATGTGCCATTAAGAACTGAGGAAAACCATTGATAAATACAGTAATAGTTCTCCACAGAAATGAACATGTAGATCGTTGACATAACTGTAAAATGTGTTACTTGCAATTGCATCTACAGTAAAATACCCTGTGGCTGTGGCTGACCGCATAGCCTTGGGAAGACAGACCAAAACTCTGTAAAACACAAACATCAACAAAGACTAAACTTCTATGAGTGAATGAGCAGTCTACTTACTTTTAGTTCATCATTAGTCGGTAGCGCGTATGTTCTGAGTACTAAAGTACTACTGCAGCTCCCTGTCTTCTTATGGTTCACGATTCAGGCTGGATATCAGGCCTCTGCACACATCTACTTTCATACCACACCCCCTCCACAACACCTATGATCTAGAAGGGCCTGTTGGAACAAGTTTGGAACCAACCAAAAATAAAAACGTCAACCCACAAATTAAATTGCTCCATTTCTTATTTGTGCCACTAAATAACTATTATATAACTATTATCTGAAAGCTCTTCTATTACACGTGGATCAGTTTACTAGACCTACTGTAGTAAGTTCAGGAAGACTCCTTATCAATAGTATGATTTCCACTGTTCACTGATGTGGCACCAGGCTGGCAGTCAGTGATTTCATTCCAGCAGAGAACCTGTCAGTAAAGACTGAGGTGGGAAACAAATGAGCTAAACTGCCTGCAAGATGACACCTCATACATTTTAATGCAGGTCTTCTCCACGTAATAATTAATGAAGTTGTGAAATCAGTTCCTGTTGTCACACTTGTTAATGGTGCACCCATTTGTGCTGAGTGGAAATGCTGAGATATACTATAAATACAAAGACCTGTGTAAACAGAGGTCAGTGACTACAAAGGAAAAGAGAAGCCTAGAGCAGACTTTCATTGTTTGTTATGAATACGTTCACCATTATGGCCAGGAAAGGCACAGTACTGTTCAAGGCAGTTTTTTTTTAATCGATTTTGTGTACATTTTGATGTAACAAGGGTTGCCACTTAATGGAATAAAAGTATTGGGAATACGTTTTCAGAATACAGCAATTTGGTATCTGTGTTCAGTTCAAGTCACATTTAGCAAAGTTTTCAGAATACAGTTATCTTTTACATTTGTAGGAGAATATTTTTAGAATACGCACCCAGTAAAGTCACTACCCTTAAAATGAGCGCATAGCATGTAAAGTAGGGGTGCACAACTTTGGTCCTGGAGGGCCGGTGACCAGTGCAGCTGATTTACCTACTGAAACACACCTGATTACACTTACCTGTTACTTGCGAGGTTTAGTGGGTGTGTTAGTACAGAGAAACCTTCAACTTTGCTGGACACCGACCCTACAGGACTGAAGTTGAGCACCCCTGATGTAAAGACTTGCTCTAAAAAAGAACACAACATGGCTTCTCTACAAACACTGAAGTTCCTGCTAAAGCCTGAGTAGACTGATAAATCACTGTGATGATCCATTTATAACTAATCTGAGTGTTAGTAAGCTCTTCTGAGGGATGACTAAACTGAGTAGTGGACATATTCTCAAGTGATAAGCTTAGCTTTGGCATTGTACGGGACTTGTGCATGTGTTCCTTGGCAAGTTACACACCTATCACTAACTGAAAATCACATAGCTTCTGATTTTATAGTCAAATTTGCAAGATTTTGTTATTAAGATATGGTGAACTGGGTCATGAAAGGGCAGTGGGATTATGGGATCATTATTATTATAGAGCCAAAATAATGTTGAGAATTTCATATTCATTCTTGTATTAATTTGAATAATTTATTTTTTTATTAAACATATTATCAGAAGAATTACATGAACAAAACTGTCAACCAGTAACAATAAAGAAAAGTGTGAAATAAATAAAAATTTCCGCAGAGTTCTTCCCATGTACTTTATCAACAAATATATTCTATGCATTCTGAATACATTACTTTTTATGTATTGTAGAGGAATACATTACTGAACACATTTAGGGCAGTATATTCACTGTTCAGCCATCACTACTTTTGTCAAAGTATTTTGCCCAACCTGGGCAGTTGGATTACTAAACCGTGGGGACAGATTTCCCTCCTCACAATTTTTTCCTCATTAGTGACCCCTACCGGGCTCCGTACCTTTCTTTCTGCATGTCAAGTACTCCGCTTCTCAAATAAACTGAGAGTGAGCCATCTTGTTCTTTTTGTTGCATCTTTAGGATCTATACCGTACTTTCGCCACATATGTCACGGTTATCTACTTTTATCTTGCAATTTAGCAAGAACATTATCAGATAATAATAATAAAAAATCTCTAAGTATATTTAGTTTAGCAATTGTGCCAGGGTTCGTATAGCTATGTGTCAAAATACAAACCTAAAATATTTTGTTACCTATCGAAACTGCGGTTACGAATACTCAAGTAGGTGATCAGCTGTTTGGGACGATTGAATCAACCAGCGGTGAGTAGCTAACCAGATTTAAAATTTCAATTAAAACGATAAGACCGTGAATTAATAACCGTCATTATATTTAAAATAGGCGTCTATGTTTTAACGATCCTGCTGGCTTTGTAATATGGACGTGTGGAAGCTTATAGTTTGTTGGTTAGCCAGCAGGCTAACTATGCTAACCTGCTAGCAAGATCTAATTCTGTGAGTTCTCAGTCATATACAGTTAAACAGTAATGACGCCGTAGATAACAACTTTTTAACGTTTTTAGTGTATCTTACTTTTTTACAGAAATGCCAGAAAAAGTAGATTTAAACCTCAACGAGCTGACTTAACGTTACCAAAACAAACGGAACCTCAACTTCCTCTAGTTTAAGGAATAACAAACTGTTATCTTGTCAGGTGTCATCTGGTTTGTTTGCATGTTTGTTTGTTTGTTTGTGTGTTTAGCTCTTTGTAGAGACCAATAGGGTGTTTCACAAAGCAGGATTTCTCGTGTAAGATGATTTAAATCACAAGTCATGCCCGTCTAGTAGGAGCAGATATTGATATTGGACAGTCTGGTTGTCCAGTTAAACTGACATATATTTTGAAATACCCTCCAAAAGTCCCAGAGGTAAAGGAAACATGACAGCCTTGATGTGTGGCATTTGTCTGGTTCCCACTAACTAATGAGATACAGACAGATGACAAATAAAAGGAAAAGGTCTAAATAAATGAGTGGAGAAAATAAATAAGGGGATGGGAAGGGGAAAAGATATGAGTGACTTTGCTTAATTTTTAGGGCACGGATAGCAGGAGCCTCAGTCACAAAGACTGCTCAACTGACGAGTGTTTTAATAGGAACAGTGACAAAGAGGGTCCAGTGGCTCTCACTGGCATGGTTTGTGTCCTCTTGTCCCTTTAAACAAGAAGGTCACTGCAGATCAATACAAAGCTATTTTGCTTGATCTCCTATGATGAAACGTTTCTAAATTCCTGACAAGAGTCTCTTGCCCCATCCACAGGGCACAAGGGGTCACTGCAAGGTTTGTGTGAAAATGATGTAAATAAAGTGCTGTCATCCACTACCGTCATCAAAACACCAACTAAGTCAATCTCTTTTGGAAGAATGATTGTCCTCTAGAACCATTCCAGAGACCTAAAGAATCTGCCAAAGCACATTAAAGCCGTTCTGCCAGACTGTGGTGGTTCGACAGCTCACTAAGACACTTTGTAATTTCTCCTTTCATTTGTCACACGTCTGAAGTGTGTGTGTCTTTGTATGCATTTCGTAAATGTTTTAGGATTTGCATTTTTACAGGTTTTGTTCACTAATTTCATTATTTTCTTGACAAATATCAGTTGCATACATACAGTACTCAACATGTAGAAAGGAATCATAAATATTATCCTTATGTAGATGATATGTTACCTTCAACAAGTCTAATATGCATTTTTATTTCTCTGGTTATCTTTCTCGCAAAGGTGAAAATGAGGAAAAACAAAGGGAAAACAAACACAACTGAAAAAGAGTTTGTGTTTGAGTACAAGGCAGGCAGAAATCACTGTGTCCTCAAAGTGCCCCTTCAGTTTCCTGTTCAAGAAAATGTCAGTGATCTTCATGGGAGACTCATGCTGCTTCACAAAATCCCATGCTTTGTTGAAAATGGTAAGAATTCTGGATGAGTCACTGTTGTGTTATAAACTAAACATACATAGATATCGTGTAATGCTGATAGTATTGTTATAGTATGGTTTCAGTTAATATCCACTGATACAGAGTACATCACACTTTAATTTTTGCTGGAATTGATATTAAAAATCTTTTTTTATTGCATTGATTGCAGTGTTTCTGCTGTTGTGCTCATGCCAGAAAGATACTAATAGCGTTTTGCTTGTTTTCAGTGAAGAGAGTTGTAGCTGAAATGTTTGGTTTATTTCAGAATTGAAGAGCAGACTTCTGGCCTTCATTGAGAGAGAGACGTTAGAAGATTACGACCGGGAAGCTGAAGCAGCACTACAGAGGCTCACTAATGGAGAAGTTGATATCAATAAACTGGCCAACTCGTGGGCAAAGGCGTACACTGAGGTAAGGGCACTGCAGTTAGTCACACAGTTGTACCTCATTAAACCAATTGCCTCCACTGGTTTGGTCATTACTGTAGAGCATTTTAATGATGTCATTTAAAACCATAGTTAAGGATGGAAAAAACATTGTAATGTACATAGGATCAATGAGTGTGTTTAATCTGATCATAATTGGATTTCTGCAGTTATCTGATTATTAAAATGGTCATGTAAACAGCATACTCTGATTTTTAAGATTGGGGTAAGGTCTAGAAATCTTTAGCTCAGTAATCAGATTTCTCAGTGCATGTAAACTCTTACTCTGATTTCTTTCGGATTTCTCCGTCTGCGCATGTGTGAAAACAGACTGGCACCAGAAATAAGCAGCGTTGCCACAACCTGCAGCAAACATTTTTGGAGCGATGCTGAAACAAATATCTGCTTGATGAAATGAAGGATTTAAATTTTCTTCATCTTCTAGGTGAAAAAAAAAAAATGCAGCATGAAGTTTGAGTTTTACATTACGTTTACGTCACGTCTTTTTCTGTGAGTTTATTGGCTGGTTGTAAAGCAGAAATCTGATTACTGCCTGACTCATGTCAGAGTTTCCCCATTGTCTGATTACTCAAGTGCATATAAACGCATTGATCGGATTACTGACAAATTCTGATTTTCTGCAGTTATCAGATTATTAAGTGCATGTAAACGCACTCATTATTGTTTTGTTATTTAATTGATGTTAACCGTTGTAAATCGCTTTGAATAAGACCATCTACCAAAAATGTAATTGTAGGAGGAGGTTTTTTAAATATGTATTTTTCTACTTTTCTGTTTTACACCGGACAAAAAAAAAATTGCAAACTTTTTGTAGATAAAACTGAGAAAATGTTCTTTTGAAGGCGTCATTTGCAATCAATAGTAATACATTCCAAATTTAGGCTATAATATGCCATCATAAGATTTGTATCCATGCTCATGTAACCATCATCCATGTAAATACATCCATTTCTTAGAATACATCAAATAAATGGCCATTCAGACATCACTGTATACATGAGTGTCTGTTTAAATGTACGGTCAGTACATTGCTCTGTCAATATTTTGAGAACGCTGATGTGTTCCTGACATGCAAAGCACCAAAACACATGTGACACGATAAAAATAGTGACGTTTGAATGTTGGCTCTAGTGCTCCGCTCCACTTTAACTCATCCGTGGCTCTTCCCATCAATACTTAAGCCGTCAAACTGATGTCACGGAAACGTAATGTGATCTTTTATGAGATATATTGTGTGGGAGACGCTTCTGTCCGCTTTGAATCAATCAAAATTGACTGTGCACATGCAAGAAATTCCTTTGAAACAGAATATCCAAACCTGTATCCGCTTTTAAGGTCAAGGAGATCATCTGCATTTGAACTTCAGAGTGTTGGAGTTTAAATTCTGCTGCCGCTCGCTCTGGTACACTTATAAAAAGAAAGCAGAGTCCTGCGCTCCATTTCCTATAAAGCGCTGCTGGCTCATGACTGTGGGGAGCTACAGGATAACTGTTAGGCTCTGCTTTGCTGCAGCAGCACACAAATACACACTGACCCTCTCCAGCATATTTACAGATGCTCACAGAGACTTGTAATGGCCATAAAGTTCATCACAAAAATGGTTGGATTTGCATTAAGCTAACAGCAATTCGCATGAATGTTGTTTTGGCTGTTGTAGATCAAACACCAGACATTGGAAGCTTCTAAAAGACACTCCATGTTTTAGTTAATGCTTGTGCCAGACATATTACCCTGTGCCAGTTTCACAGTGACTCACTATTGAGCTCTAGTTTAGAGCTGCTGCCGCTGTTTTCTGTTTCTAACAATAATTGATTAGGTTGCCACTCATACTCGCAATCAGTTTTGTATCTAGAGCTTCTAAAATGCCTTGTGTGACATTTTCCTCGTAAAAAATCCCACCCATTGTAAATCAAAATGTGACTGGTTGATTCCTCTTTCACTTTGTAATTATGATGATTGTTAATCTAATGGGTTAGGGCTTCTCTTCAGCTCCTGAAGTCCTAAAAAAGAGAGCTATATCTGCCCAGATACCACCATGAAAAATAATTTCTGATTTGGCCATTTTTTTTTTCTGGCAGTTTTTTAGGAATTTAACTTTCCGTCCAAAACAACGAAACAAGCAAATCCATGTATTTTTGAGGTCTTAGAAATCAATAAACCTTCTCTGAATGCATAGATGGCTCTGAGGGTTCCTCACTGGTTTTCAGTAGTATTCAGAGTATCATTTGTCCTCATGTACTTGCAGGTTGGCACAGCTGCTCAATAGTTATATCTGATTGGAATGATCATGGTAGATTAACAAATAGCCAACTGACTTTTTGCAAAATAATGATTGACCTGCCTTCTCCTGATTAGACAGGGAAAGCTGACACTAATCCCTGGCTTGATTAAGGTAAACATGGTTTTTAAAATCCATTTTTTAAATTTACACTGACCTGCATTCATATTGTCAATTCTTAAACATGTATGACTCCAGTGAACATCCTTTAAATAATTTTTAAAATAACAATCAATTTTCCTGACTTTCCTGGCTGAGTTTTTTAGCCTTTTAGCACATGTGCTATGAATGCTACGAGGTAGCCTGACCTGAAAGTTTGATAGACATAACAACAGTAGCCAATGGAGGCGGGACTTGCCAGAATATTGCAAACAGTCAATAATTATAGTAGCTTCACAAACTGACCAGTCAGTTGTAAACACTGTGCTGCAATTATTCTCATATTAACTCTGAGTTTACTAATTTTCTGTTTTTTTCCAATTAATCAATAAAGAACAGCTTTTAATTTATAACTGTAGCATAACAATGAGGAGGCCTTTCTAAGGGCCCTTAGCATACATTTTTCTTGCATTTCTATTTTTTTAACTTATGACATTTGTGTCAAAAACAATCCGATTTTCATAAATTAATTTTTATTATTTATTTTTACATTACCATTTTCCAACCTCTCTGTATTCAAACAGGCTGTTTTTGTTACTATGGCTTTAAGACTGATGTAAATTTCCTCTCTTCTGATTGGCTGCTCTGTATTGTGCTTCATTCAAAAAACAGTCTGGGCTGAAACACTCCTTATAATTTCAGCATGAATGAGCGGGGCTAAATTGCTGTAGGCTGAATATATGTTTTTTTTATGTGTGTAAATGCATTGGTTTTCATGACATCACAAAAACTTGTGAAACTTCAACAGTGTTTACATACCACACCAAATTCTTTTATTTCGTAAAAATGAGGACCATTCAGTTGTCAATTTCAGTTTAAGCTTTAAACAGATGGGACAGACAGAAAAGGTGAAAAATATAATAAATATATTGTATATTGACCCCTAATGTGTACTCTCTATCATTAGACGACATTGGAGCATGCCCGGCCCGAAGAGCCTAGCTGGGATGAGGACTTTGCAGATGTTTACCATGAACTGATCCACTCTCCAGCCTCAGAAACACTGCTCAACCTGGAGCACAACTACTACGTCAGTGTGTCTGAGCTCATCAGCGAGAGGGACATGGAGCTGAAGAAACTTCAGGAGAGGTTAGTGGATCATGCACTTGTTTGGTAACTGCAGGTGTGTGTTGTGTATTGACTTTGTGTTTTGTATAATCAGTTCAGAGAGCTTTTCCCCACCAAATGTTAGAACAGGAATGGAAAAGCTTTTCATGTCCCTCTGTATACAGACAGGCAGTAGAAATGGACAAAGTCATGCAGGAGCTGGGAAAGACCTTGACTGACCATGATGTCAATACTGTGGCAGCGCAGCACTTTGATGCTCAGCAGGTAAGACCCTACAGGTTTTGCTGTGTTTTCTGTGTTAGAGGTAAAGTAGTGCCAATTTGATTCACTTATTTGTCTACAACAGTACAGAACATGTTAAAGCAGTGCTCCTTTAACATGTTCAGACATTCTGACATGACAAGCTATTAATGAAGTTAGTGGACACTATTAATTATAATAGTGGAGTACTAGTAAAGTAGAAGTACCAGTATTTCATTATTAGCAATAGTAATGGTGTCTTGCTGTAAGAGGTAATCACTTTTGGGTGTGGCTTTTAGGTATTGGAGAACAAGTGGGCCAGTGAGCTGAAGCAGGTGACGGGTATTCAGAAGCAGGAGTACCAGGAGTGGGTGATCAAACTGCACCAGGACCTCCACAACCCTAACAACAGCACAATCAAGTAAGGGCCAGCAGTGCACTCAGGTTAAAAGTGCATTTACATCTGAATTCTAGAGCCACTAAACTGAACCAGGATCTGATTCTGAAACCTGAAGGGTGATCATGATGCGAAGGGCCCGGTTACACTCCAATAGTGAAAAAGCACTTAGTGAATTCTGTCCATGAGCTTAACGTTTTAAGAATTAAAGGACTGTCGCTGGTCTAAGATATGTACTGCAATATCAATATACAGATACCCTTATGAACATATCGTCGCTATCGAAAGAAAAACAAGTATCTCCAAAATAGTAACTTTACAGGAGAGGGCAAAACCACTCCTGACTTTTAATGTAAGTTAATGTAAAGAGATTTTATTTTAATTGATTTTGGGGCATTTCTATTGGTCCAATCATCATGAATTTTTTACACGATGTAAAGGAGAACTTCGTGTTCAAATGATGTAGAAAAACAAAAATGGAGATACATGTTTTTCTTTGGACAGCGATGATATATACATACAATGGTAAAAAATGTTCATAAAAGGATTAAATGACTACGATTTTAATATTGAAATCCATTATCTAGAATTAGAAGCTGCATATTTTAAAACTGGTAATCATTCAAGCTCTTAGAGCATATTATTTCCAAGTGAAAGTTACTAGTGGAAGTGAATAAGTGTGAAATTTACTCCAAAATCTTCATCCAGAAATACCACTGTTCATGAGGCATAAAAGCCAGTTGACATCATGCTAAACTGTTTCTTTTTATCTTTTATCTATCGTTAGCCACATTAACATTTTTGAGTCAATTATTAAATGGAATTAGGTTCCTATCTTTCTGTCAGTGTGGAACTTGGCAGCTTTGTTGTCCTTTCAAGCCATCCATCCTGTCAGCTTTCTGTGGGAAGCAAAGATAACAAATGGCTGAGTCAGAAGATGCAGTGCTGAGATTATGAGTACAATGGAGCGGGCACACACAGCAGCCACTCACAAAGAGGCAAATGCAGGATGCTCCTCAAGACTGCGTAAAAGAAGTGTTTTACAGTCCACATAGAATAACAAGCACCCCTCTTCCAAACTCCATAATCTTCCAAATCTTATTTTAGGAAACCATCTGGAATATTTTTACTCCACTGGCTGGAGAATTACATTATACAGATGTTTAAGTAGGTCCTGTAGACAAGATATGTTTTTGTTTAATTTTATTCTAGCAAATAATGCGGGAAACAGGAATCTTTCCCATAATGCAGTTTTCTATTTTGGCAGCAAATATGCTTTAGAAGTATATAAGAGAAACTGGTTTTGTGTTGCAGTGAGGAGTTGAAGGGACAGTGCTCTGGTTTATGTTGCAGTGATGAGACCAAAGTATATTGGTCTTGTTTGTCTTGCAGTGAGGGGATTAAATGCAGTGCTGTGGTTTGTCTTGCATGCTTGGGTTAAGGTGCAGTGCTCTAGTTTGTCCTGCAATGAGGGGATTAAGGTGCAGTGCTTTGGTGTGTCCTGCAGTCAGAGGATTAAAGTACACTGCTCTGGTTTGTCCTGCAGTGAGATGATTAAAGTGCAGTGCTCTGGTTTGTCCTGGAGTCAGGGGATTAAGATACTCCACTCTGGTTCATGTTGCGGTGAGGAGATTGAGGTGCAGTACTCTTGTTATGTTGCAGTAAGGATATTAAAGTGCTATGCTCTGGTGCGTGTTGCAGTGAGGAGATTCAGGTACAGTGCTCTAGTTTTTCTTGCAGTGAGGAGATTAAGGTGCTGTGGTCTGCTTTATGTTGCAGTGAGGAGATTATGGTACAGTGCTCTAGTTTTTCTTGCAGTGAGGAGATTAAGGTGCAGTCTGGGCAGCTGGCGGAGGCCGGGGAGATGGGGGCCAGACTCTTCGAGGAGCAGCGACAGCTGGAGGAGAGCTTCACGATTCACTTAGGTATGGCATCTCCTTAGAAACGTTGGCCACTTCCACAAACCGCAATGTAAAAATATACGCTCTCTTCCAACCATTTTATATGTGCTGTCACAGTAATTTACTTTCACTTCCAATGGGTTTTCAACATGCCTGGATATGTTCTGCCAAGTCTCTCATACGTGCTTGCATGGGCATGACCTGATTTACTGTGACAATTGGTCATGCATAGGTGACGGTCTTGAGATCTTGAAAATAATATTGATCTTTAGAACTGTTATTCAGTGTATTCAGTGTCTCACTGCTGTTTCCAGTATTTTCTATTTGCTGACATTGGATGATTGGATAATGTATGTATTCTATCTCAAAGCATTCTGAACCATTTTGGATAAGATCTGATGAGTAATGTTATATGTGCGATGTAACCTATGCAGATAATCCTTAAAATAATACTTCACATAAGACTGCTAACATTGCCAATAGCGAATGAAAACTATTAGGTGGACCAGGGCCTTGCTCAGTAGCTGCATCATATTTGCTTAACACATCTCTTTAATGTTTCTCCATTTCATTCTTCATCAATATTCTGCACCTTCAGGAGCTCAGCTGAAGACCATGCACAATCTTCGGCTGGTACGTGCCAACGTGCTGGACTTCTGCAAACATCGCCGACATGGCAGTGGTGGCGCTAAGCTTCGGCGGCTGCAGACGGCTCTGTCACTGTACTCGGTTTCTCTCTGTGGCGTTGTCTTGCTCGTCGACAACAGGGTTAATTCCTACAGCGGCATTAAGAGAGGCATGACATCTCACTTACACAGTCACTACATATATTACACTGTTGTAAGAGTAGTTTAGTGAATATATGAATGCTTGTAAAGGGCACATTATTATTGTGGATTATACATACAGTAAACATAATATTTATAGGTGTAGTAGTCCATGAGTCAGTGGCCTGTAAGGCTTTCAATATGATCACAATTTTACCGCAGAGAAAATGTCAGGTGGTGCATCTACATGTAAATAAAAATGTTATATTTTAAAGTTATTTACCAAAACTGAAAATGTGTCTTTGTACAAATTTGTATAAAATTATCTTTGTACTTGGATAATCATGCAGACCTTTGTCCTTGAACTCATATTTATACATACATTTTTAAACTAAATAAATATTATAATAATTACACTTTTCATGTTTTTTTGTGGGTCACAGTACCTGACCTAGTAAACTGAACCAGTTAAATAAAGCATTTCAATATTTGTGATGAAAAGCTACTGACCTTGTCATTACACAATGAAGGACACTTGGAGTCTTCTTTAAGAGGCAATAAATACCCTGCTGACTCTTTCTTAAAATGCATATCAAAATAAAAGTCCTTTGTTGTTTGTGCTGCCTGACATTTAAGGAAATCAGAAATTACAAACCAACATTTTTCAATTATTTGAATACTTCAGAAATATTCAAATACAAAAAAAAAACATGTTTCAGTTTTAAAGGTTTCAAACATAAAATCATGCCAAAGTGTTTTATTTTTCATTTTCTATGACAAAAGTACCCTTTTTAATAGTTTCATAATCTTTTATGTGGTTGGACGGTCACACCATCTGACATTTTGCAGACTTTAGGATGCATATTTCCTAAAATTAATTTTATTTTAATAAGCTGAAAATGTATTCATGTAAATGAGGTATTGTAATGTTAATATGTGTGATGTATTTGTTTTTTTATGACACAAAAAATGTTTTACTAATGACACAAAAAAAAATCACATTGCGTCATTGACCCACATACAGAAATTTGTAAATACAGAACAAATTCCATAACTTTATCTTTAACATGCAGTTAACCTCCATCTTTGCCTGAAAATTGTCTTCCAGATTTTGCCACAGTGTCCAAGGAGTGCACAGATTTCCATTTCCCCCGGCTGTCTGAGCAGCTTGAAGTGGTCCAGCAGGTGGTGCTGTATGCACGGGCCCAGCGCAGCAGTAAGCAGAGGGAACAGCCGGGTGAGTGACACAGCAACTGTGTGCGAGTGTATGTGTGTGGGCGGTGGATCCCCCTGTCCGAAACACCCATCTCTGCAATGCACCATGCCGTATCCAACTTCAGTGGCTCCGCAGGGAAGTGTTGCGTTTCGTTTGCCTGGTGCCAGCAACAATGAAATGGGATCCAGCTCTTTTCTGGCTGTCTAAATATTTTGCCAGAATGTGGAATGCCCTGGTAGTCACTGCCTGAGATTAGATAGATTCGTTGTAGATAGATTAGTTTTGAATAGTTAATAGTTTTTGACAGTTCTGGTTTATCGGTCATACTGTGATTTTATATCTGTTAATTGAGTGAATGGTAAAGGATCTTATCATATACATCCACCATCCAACTGCTTTAGAAATATTCACACTTAAGGTGACATATGTTGCACACTTAACCACATCAGCAGGAAACCAGGGGTACATAAACTTTTTGTTTATGGTGGGTCGAAGTCTAAAAATACAAAACAATATACAAATAAAGAAAGCAGTTCGGTTTCAAATTAAGAATTTGAAAAAGTATTTTATAACATTTACACTTCATTTTCTACAATTTTGGAAAGGTAGATAAGAATTGAATAAATTTTTATAATAACAATATGTTCGTTCTCTCATTGAGTGAGAGGTGTGGGGTTAGGGTAACAGGCCACACTTTGGGCAGCCCTGTATATCTATATCTACATGTTGTTAATTAAAGCTGTATTTACTCTCTGACTTTGTTCCACAGAGATGCCGAGAAATGGAAGCAGTGATGATAAAAGCAAGAATTTAGAACGAAACTCTTCAAACATTCTTCCTGGTGAGCTTCCTATCTTTAAGTGTTTGTCTCTCTTATATTGACTGATATTCATCGTAAACGGAGATGCTTGTCTTTGTATAGGTGAATTTTACATCAGTCGGCATTCCAACCTGTCAGAGGTTCATATAGTCTTCCATCTGTGTGTGGATGACAATGTGCGTTCTGGGAACCTCACGGCCCGAGACCCAGCCATCATGGGTTTGCGCAACATCCTGAAAGTGTGCTGCACACACGATATCACCACCATCACCATCCCGCTGCTGCTCGTGCACGATATGTCCGAGGTGAGCCAGGCCTGACTTGCAGGGTCCCAAATCACTTACTGCTTGCCAAATTGCTTGAAGGATAGAGTGTGAAAGTTTTTGAATTGTGTTGGCCACCTACCTGCCTTGTATTTCCACTCACTGTCCACTGCAATAACTCTGACATACTGTTAGAAATGGTATGTTTGGGAGGAGGATCATGTCGATAGCTCCTCCTCCTACCATCCTAGAAATTTATACATGTATAAATCATATAATTTTCCATCTCTGCCTTCTGTTTCCTTAGTTAAAGTTTTCTGTTCATCAAAAAGGAAGGCTCCAGAAGCCATCCAGTACTCCAGCCAAGTTCTCTCCACTCCCTCAGGCACGCTCCTCTCCTACTACTGCCATATGTTGATGGCATGGCCCGCCCACACAGACTAGGAACAAAAAGTTCAGAGAGTAGTTGCTGGGGAACTTCTTTGGAGCCTGTCCTTTAGATTGTTGCTTCACCTTCTCCTAACTAATTTGCATATAGGTGAACAAATATCATCTTGATTTGTCGCTTGTCACCCTATTGCTGTGCTGCTTCTTACATGTTGCTAAACTGCAGCTACAGATCACCTTCTTCCATTGGAAATTACTGGTGACCTGTTACTGTCTAGATGTACAGTTAGAGATGATGGCTCATCTGCTGCTGCACAGTTTGTGTTAGTCATCCTGTAGTCTTTCATCAGTGATCAGTTTCCAGACTGAATAAAATAGACATTTATAGCGTTTTTCAGTGGGCAGTGCGGTATGGTTTGGTGTAGTTACAGCTGCGTTTATGCAGTTTGTAGTCAATTTCCTATTTCCTGTACCATACTTTAGTACACATGCTGAGTTTGATTAACCAAAATGTATAAGTGGAGCTAATAATGGTACAAACTACTGATTGAGCAAATGCAGTCACCACAGAATTGTCATGCAGTGTCACTGTTAAAAAGAACTCTATTTTCAGGTACTGTTGTGCAAAGGAAAATGGACACAGGTGCTCAAGCAGGGTATAGAGAGTTCTGGGTTCAGATTTGTAACTGTACCTTAGTGCCTGGTGGAAAAACAGCAACAGTGTAAATACAAGATAGGTGTTGTAATAAAGTGGCCAGTAAGTATATATGAAAAAAGGAGTCATTTTGGATTCAGTCCATATTACTTATGTGTTTTACCAATCTGTCAAACCAACCAGTATTCCCAGTATGTGATGCTGGCTTCCACATTTATGTATGTGGTCTAAGTGGAAAGAATATTGTAAAGTATCAAAATGTCAAATTCAAATTTGTAAAGTTTAATGAATGAACATAGAGCGGGCTTATTGGGGAAAATCAAATTGGGTGTCTTGATTAAAGATGTAAGATAGACTTAATATGGGGTGGACAGGTTTATTTTTATTTGAATGTTTTACATTTTCTAAAGCATATTCAAATCATCCAGTCGCTTTTTAACTTAATTGTTACAGTTTACTTTCCATTTTTTTTGTTTTTTTCTGTTTTGTCAAATTTTACACTTCACTAACTCAGTGTAGTGTGTTAATTCTCTCCTTGAACAGGTCACAGCAGTCATTATGTGACACACTTTCCTCTGCTAAACTAAAACAGGCCAGCTTGACCCAAAAAAAGCTAGCACACGTGCGCAGAGTTGATCACGCTGAGTCATCGGTGCTCAGAGTTAGCACTCAGCCTCACACTGTTCGCTTCATGTGTTGCTTATCTCTGTGATATATTTAATCTCATGGTGTTCCATTCAGTGCTTTTGCTATTGTGACAGAACAAAATTGCCCATCGTATTGTTTACACTCAGCAGCTGCAAGATCTTTCCGAAGACTAAGGGCTTTCAGTAATTAGTAAACAAGACTGCTCTGGATCCAAACCACTCCACGACATGTCCCAACATGTCTTATGTGATGTGACGTTTTGTTATGCTAAATATTATTTTACTCATGGTATTGTTCACTGAATGTACAGTAGCTGGCAAATTACAGATTTTTGCGTATTTATGAATTCCATCAAATAGTTTACCGAAGTTTATCAGTGTTTTCTTGATTTACTGCCAGAAAAACAGGATTTATCTAGCCTTTAAACCATAAATTCTGAAGAATATGGTGGTGGTACCATTGTAGAAGGAAAGTAGGCACATTCGCAACAGATGAAGCAGTGTTTGTTTATTTGCCTATTGTTAGCAACACCTTCAGAGGGCAGTGGCGAGTAATGTTTGTTTATTTGATGTTTGTTAACACTTTTAGGGGGCGGCAATGAGTAATGTTTGTTAACACCTTTAGAGGGCAGTGTTTGTTAATAAAACCTGTGGAGGGTGGCAGTAAGTAAGGTTTGTTTATTAAATGTGTGTCAACACCTTTAGAGGGTGGCGGTGAGTACTGTTTTGTTTATAATACCTTTAGAGGGCATTGGTGAGTAATGTTTAACACCTTTAGAGGGCAGCGGTAAGAAATGTTTGTTAATAGTACCTTTAGAGGGCGGCAGTGAGTAAGATTTGTTTATTCAATGTTTGTCAACACTTTTGGGGGTGGCAGTGAGTAATGTTTGTTTATAATATCTTTAGAGGGCGGCGGTGAGTAATGTTTGTTCATTTGATGTTTGTTAATAACACCTTTAGAGGGTGTTAGTGAGTAATGTTTGTTTGTTTGATGTTTGTGAGTAATGTTTGATAATAACACCTTTAGAGGGTGTTAGTGAGTAATGTTTGTTTATTTGATATTTTTCAGTAATGTTTGTTATTAATACCTTTAGAGGGCGGTGGTGAGTAATGTTTGTTTATTTGATATTTTTCAGTAATGTTTGTTATTAATACCTTTAGAGGGCGGTGGTGAGTAATGTTAGTTTATTCAATGTTTGTCAATACTGTTTTTAGAGGGCAGTGGTGAGTAATGTTTGTTTGATGTTTGTTATTAGCGAGTGACAGTGAGTAATGGTTATTTGATGTTAATAACACCTGTAGAGAGCAGTGATGAGTAATGTTTGTTAATTTGATGTTTGTTAATAGCACCTTTAGAGGGTGACGGTGAGTAATGTTTGTTTATTTGAGCTCCAGCAGTTTCTGTCATTAATTGGGAGTTACTGAGTATCGACAGTTGGAAAGCAAGATGCATAATCAGCAACTTTTGCTTATTTACTTGCATACAATGAGGAAAATGAACACAATTAAATTGTCAATTGCAATTATATTGGTAAATACTCATCTACGGTGTCATGACAGGTCTAATGGTTACATTCTTCATTTTGGCCATAGTGCTGTTTTAAATACAGGTTAAAATAAATGAACCCCACAGTTTATCAGAAGTAGCTTGAAATGTAATGTAAGTTCTTCTCATGCTCGCCTTTACTAGATACACTTTGAAGTCTTTTTTAGGAGCTACTAAATGTGGTCACTTAAAGAGCCCATAAAACCAGATTGATGCGTCATGTGCGCCTGCTGTGTATCGGAAGCATTTTGCTATGGAATGTTTTCAGAGGTGAACCTCATAATATTACCATGTAATTTAGAGGTTGTTGTTTTAGGCCAAACTGTGTGTAGTGACTGTAGTGAAGTTTTTGGGGAGCTTCAGTCCACCTGACCACAGACTGTTGCTAAGGAATGCTCAGTGTTCAGAAAATGGTTTTAATTCAGAGAAGAGCTGTGTGCTTTTTCAGACAGCAGTGACCAGTTCTAACTTTCTAATAAGCTAAATATCAGTTCAAAACAATGAAAATGGCAAATTCTCATATAACAAAATTCTGCCTCTAGGGCAGCAGTTAAAACATTTGATTTGCACAAGACTGACTACAGTTCTTAATCCTGCCTGGACTGGTGTATGGGCAGGTTCTATATACAGTACCAGGCAAAAATCCATATTTTATTTATTTAACTTTCAGTAATAAGTAAGTTGTTCATTTTTCAGGAGATGTAGAAAGAGATAAACAGGATAGGGAAACAGGGAGCAATGAGAGAAAATGGGACTGTGCAGGACATGATAGACCACCACAAGTGTCCCCATTAGATAAACAGTACTTTCATCTTTGAGAGAGAGGAGAAAATCCATGGGTGTTCTGTCTACCCTTTCAAAAGACAACTCAGCACTCAACACACTAAATACTGACTGTTTAATCGTTGAGACTTCTGTGTAATTTTCTGTTAAAAGTTTTGTTTTTTCTGTTGATGAAAAAGAACTACTTAATGGCCAGTTTGACTGGAAATGAAATAAATGAAGGGCAGTCTCTGACCTTTCTACAGTACTGTGTATATATATGGTATATGTGTAATGTTAGATGTATAGTAGTCATTCTCTCTCTCTCTCTCTCTCTCTCTCTCTCTCTCTCTCTCTCTCTCTCTCTCTCTCTCTCTCTCCAGGAGATGACCATTCCCTGGTGTCTAAAGCGAGCTGAGCTGGTCTTTAAATGTGTGAAAGGTGAGTGAGCAAAGAGCAGAAAGTGGAAATGCTGACTCTGTGCCACTAGGGGACTGCTAATGAGTATCAGCATGTCACAGAGAAACATTCAGTTTTGTTTGTACACCTGTTCCCAGCACATTTCATAAGAGTTACGTAGTTACACAGTTACAAGGAAGTGAGTGTTGCAATTTAAGGATTATTGGTGTAAATAAGTTACTGTATCTTAGTAATGCTTCTATATATAGTTACTGCGGACAGGTTGCGAGAGTTTAGGTCAGTTTTGCGTTTTTTTTTTCAGGTTAATTTCTTTTTGCGTAATGTAGTCAGTAGGTTTACATAGGTTTATTCCTTAAAAACATGCACTAATACATTTGTAACAGAACTAAATAAATGACCTAGTATATTAAATTTCTTATATGAATTGCTTTTGAAGTCTGTCCTTTACTCCACTGACCACTGTAGTGCTTTGATGTCACACTGAATTTGTCTTTGGCAGGATTCATGATGGAAATGGCTTCATGGGATGGAGGGATCTCACGGACTGTCCAGTTCCTCGTCCCACAGGTATGTTATTGTTGTCATTATACAAAGACTACAGGCCTTTTCTGTTTTTTTTTATTACATGACTATCTGTGTTGCTACATTAGTGTCAGCAGTGACCTCTTGCCTTCAGTCTTTTCCCAATGACAAAAACCTATATTCCTAAAATATATTATCCACTGATCTCATCCGTAGTGCAGCCTTTATGTTTAACCAGAAAATGTACATGTGACAGTGTCATCCACCATCAACCACTATGAAGAGTCTTTGCTATATTAAACATCGCTGTCAGTCAGTCTCTAATAGCCTGTGTGAACACACAGTTCGGGCTCTCTCGCTGACAGGCTAAGAGGATAAAACAAGCATCAAAGGGCTCTTTGACATTCACGACTGCCAGTTTTACACTTTGTCACCTTTCAAAATAGCTTCCATAAAAACATATTGTCTTCTTTGTGTCATCCAGTCGCATAGTCTTTTAGGACAGTGTGTACATGATATAAAAAGTTGCTAATGTGTGTTAACTCTTTATTTTGGCTAAGCAGTTTTTGGGGCATCATATTAAAGCCACAGCTAGTCTTTTTTAATGAGCTGGAAAGGATTCACATGCATAATGCATTAACTTGAGGAACGTAAAGGTCCCCTATCATTGAAAACTGAATTTATCCTTACTTTTTTTTAAATGAATTTGATGTAGTATGTAAACAGTGAAGTTTCAACTGTTCACTCTCCAGTCCGTTTTGAATTTCCTTTTTTTACCGTAATGTCATGAAAACTAACACATTTGCATATATGTGCCTATTTAGACAATAGCCACCTGGCCCCACCCACTCGCGCTGAACTTATAGAAAGTGTTTCATCCTGCGCTTCTTTTTGAATGAGGCACAGAAACAAAAATAGCCTGTTTCTAAGGGATAAAGAGAAGTTGAAAAATGTTCGTGTGATTAAGAGAATCGAGTACTGTGGTATGCAAATATCAAAACAAGTTAACACGTCCTTCACAGAGAACATACTGTACAGTTTAATGCACATTTACTGTTTATTTGCTGAATTTAACATATTGGGGAAAAATGTGAAACGTGGCCTATGGAAAAGTTATGGGAAATCTTTTTTTAATACGTTAAACTCCTGAAATAAACGGAAACCTACCATAAAAAGGTATATTCAAGTTTGTTCTGTCTAGAGATGTGTTAACGTAATTTCTTCAAATATTTCTATACGACTGTGTATTAAAGGAATTGTTAAGTTAAAAATCCTTTGGGTTATATAACCAGTGGTCACTATATCAGTATATATAGTTCCTTTTCATAACTTTCATGGTAGCCAATTTTTAGTCATTTTTTAAAGATGTAATTATGCTCAATGCAAATTTAGACAGTAGTATGGCAATTAAAAGCTAATAGCTGTACCTATTAGCACAGTGCAAACTGTACCATAATCTTTTTTTAAAGTCTTTTCTAATTGTGCTTTATTGACAGAGTATCTCAGAGGAAATGTTCTACCAGCTGAGCAACATGCTGCCTCAGATCTTCAGAGTCTCCTCCACGCTCACACTGACGTCCAAACGCTGACCATGCCAAACATTCAGCTCTGAGAAGATTCTCTTTGAGCAGCACTTCTTTTTGCCATACCTCAGAAAGACAGGCGGAGGATGTCTCATGATATTAAACTGGAGTGCCGGGGTAGGAGTTTTAGGTTGGCAAATGGTTTACAGTTTACAGTGGTTAAGGCTTGATAACCATCATTGTTCTGTAATTGTTATTGTGTCTAAAACAGCTTTTCAACTCCATCCTTTCATCCAAGCTCTGTCTAGCATGTTCCATCTTCTATTCTTACAATATCTTACTAAAGACCCAAACTGCTCTGAATGTGTTTGTATGGGTGGTTGAGAATGTCATTTCTGACCAGTGTGGATTATAAGAATAAGTTATCTTTGAGTATCCTTCTTGGCCATGCACATGCTGAAGGATTGACAGCAGCATTGGCCTCTGGATGCAAAAGCAAGGACCTGGGACCAAAGCTTTGATCATCTTGGTTTATTTGGCTCATTTTTTTTTATGTATATATGCATAGCATATAATTAAGGTAATGACATAAAAAGGACCTATTACCTTAGATGAAAAGGAATGGAGAAAAAAAGTGTATATATATTTGTATAAACACAGAACATTCAAATAAAAAAGCTAGAGGGGCCCATATAGAAACACTTTCTAATGCAACCATGACTCACTTAGTGCATCACAATCAATAAATAAACAAGGCGAAAGTCCAACAAACCTCACAAATAAACTACGTAATGTAATGAATTCCTGCAAGTCATCATTACTGTTAGAGAGGACTGAAATAATTCTCTCTGCTGTATAATAATGACTGACTCTTTTGTGCTTTTTGGAAAGCAGACTCTGATTCATGATTGAAATAACTTCCATGAATAACTTCATCAGGGCAGGAACTAGAACTTCGCTGTGGAGGGCCAGAGTCCAGCACGGTTTGGTCATTTTCCCTGCTCAAACATACCTGATTCAACTGGTTGCTTTATTACCAGGCTTCGTAGACGACCTGGACTTCAGTCTTGGATGGCTCGCCTGCTTTAGGGGTCTTTTCCTTCCCCCCAAGGAAGGTAATTAAAAATAAAATGTTAAAGCTGTCACTGAAGTGATGTAGAGTCTGTCATAATGATATGTCATTTAAAAAAGCGAGTGTCTGCCCCGAATTGCAGCACATGACCTGTCAGGAATATGTGAGCCTATATGTGAGTCTCTTCGACAGTCAAGCTGATGTCCAAGCGCTGACCAAACCCCACACACAGCTCTGAGAAGAGGCTCTTTGAGGCAGCATCTCAAAAAAACAGCATGCAGGGTGTCCCATTATATTTTGAACTGAAGTACAGTTTTAGGTTCAAATTTGACAATAATCACTTGCAGTTGTTAAGAGACTTTATGACCATCAGTAGTGACCGTTTACATGTTATTGTGTCTAAAGCAGCTGTTCAAAACTCAATCCAGCTCTTGTCCACTACATTTAATGCTGTATTCTTACATGATCTAACTAGAGACCCGACCTGCTCTGAATATGCTTGTAACGGTGGCCATTGCCGTATTGAGCTTGATAGAATGGATTATCTATGTTTACGTTTCTTTCTTTCTCGAAAATGAACTCCGCTGTGGAGGGCCAGCACAATTTGGTCATTTCCCTGCTCAATATTTCGCTATTCAATGTGTGAATGAATACATGGGCCTGTCTTTAACACACTAACTCATAAGCAAAGGGAAAATATGACGTTATGAGCTCATATAGTGAGTGACTCTTCAGTATCACTCTTTGCAAGAAGTGAGCCGTCTTGCACTCACTGTGATGACATACAGTTTTTCTGTGTGCTGCATTGCAGTCAATCACTCCTGGCACCCTGTGTCACCCCTCTGCCTGTCGACCACCAGAGGGTGCAGTTCTAGTATGCAGTAACAGTATCTCTGGATGGGAAGTCCAGTGTATCCAGAGTCGCTGAGCTCAAATGTCAAGTGACACCAACCATGTGAGAGGTCTAAGTGATTTACCATGTGTTTTTATAATATGTGCCAATTAAAGTCCTCACTCATTGTAATGGCTGACCTGCGTGCTTTTTGATGTTTTGTTTTTTTTTGGAGCTGCAGTTATAATTTATTTAGATTTAAAACTGAATTTTTATTTGCTTTTAACTGAAGCTGTGGTGTGGGCCAGTTTTCTTGTGGTGAATTGGTATAATCTCCATAGACAAGCACTGGACAATCGAATGGGACATTCAGTTCAATTTGAAAAAGCCAAAGGTCACCATGCTCAGTGCTGAGCATCCATTAGAGGGGTATAAAGCCCCCCAGCATTGGACTTAGGAGCAGGGGAACTGTGATCTCTGGAGTGATGGAGTAACATTGAATACATTTGGGATTAGTTTGTGATCCAGCACTGCTGTAACCTGACCTCAGTAGTGCTCTTGTGGCTGAATGCAAATCAAATCCTCACAGCAATGTTCTAACATCTAGTGTAAAGCCTTCCCAGAAGAGTAGAGGCTGTGATTGCAGCAAAGGGAGAACAAACTCTGTATTAATACCCTTGATTTCAGAAGAAATGTTCACTTTCAGAAAAAAGATGCTAAACTGCCACTGGGTTGTAAAGGCTACATTTTCAGGACCTCCTGTTAAAAGAGGAATTCCACAGATTTTTCAGTCATTGAGATCAGTCATTCAGAGTGGCTTGATGTGAAATGGTGCTTTGTACAGAAACTTACCAACTGTCTTTACAATCAGTAAAGAAATGTCACAATGTCTCCAACGCAAATATAGCTGTTTTATTCACTATCCAGAACAACCAGTGAACCAATTTGTATCTTTTAAGTTTTATTATGTAACGTTTGGTAAAATAGCAGTAAATCTGAAAAGATACACTTTCTTTGGGGACTATTTTGCCTTAAAACACCTTGCATGCACCTCTCTGCCATGAATATGTTTTAAAAATATGTTTTAGGCCAAAACCTGTAAAAGCTACTGCAAAAGAGTGTCTCAGACATCATATTTGTAACCATGTCATGTAATAACTTTCTGTAGAACAGCTTTTAGAAGCATTAAATTCTTCAGACTTCTGGTTCCTATCGCTAACTCCAGAACATTTAACATCAAACCACTCTGAATGACTTTGTTTACATCTTTGTTATTGCAGACATTTTGCAAGATCTGATGTATTCCCCTTGAAGAGAACATTTACATTTTTGGTATTTTGGGGGACCCAAATGTACCTCCACTGTTCCTTTTTTCTGACAGCGTTGGGTGAGCAGGTGTGTATACACCTTTGAACAAATGGCACACTCTTGTCAAGTCAAGTCAAGTCAAATTTATTTATATAGCGCCTTTTACAACAGATGTTGTCACAAAGCAGCTTTACAAAGAATCCGGGTCCAAGCCCCCAGTGAGCAAGCCTTGGCGACATCATCTTAGGGATGATTCTTCAGTGGAGGCAGTGGTTCTCTATAGACCCATGAACACTCATATAACCATTTGCATCCTTAAATGGTTCTTCAGATTAATGGAGAATGCATTGTGTATGGTTGTGTACAGAACCTTTTTTTTGGTGCTATTTTAAAAAAGGTTCTGTACACAACCATATACAATGCATTCTACATTAATAATGCATTCTGCTATTGTTAGCAATGTCAAGCTTGTGATAGAAGAAACGTACTTTTTGGTGCTATATAGAACCCTTCTCATTAACTTTCTATATAGAACCATATACAACACATTCTCCATCAATCTGAAGAACAGTTTCTCCATGCAAATAATCATTTAAGCATGAGTGTTCCTGGTTGTATATATAGTCTTTACTAAAGAACCCTTGAGGAACCATCCTTTTTAAGGGTGTTTATTTTGTTAAAAAAACTAGGTCTCTATTGATTCCTTTCATAAAAAAATCTCAAATTCCAAAAGACAAACATGACTGACTGCCTCACAATGAGCAGGTGTTGATGTATATATGTATTGCTCATAGTACTGTATTACAATAGTCTAAGTTGCTGTCTGCAATGCCCTCCTCCCACCACCACCCTCAGTTCAGCTCTGATCATTTTTCTTGGAGTATCTGAACACTTTGCGAACACAGTAACACATCTGACTCTTCATATTTGGTGTTCTGTTCTGTTAAAGTCTTTATGTAAATGTTTTACCTGTTAAGGATACTTTCTCTTGAGTAATGAGACGGCAAAGTTAAGCTGATAATTGACATTTCTCTCATCTGCATCTGTAGTCTGTAGCCAGTCAAAATTGTAATTAAATCTTGTTGACATAATCCATTTAGCCTTCCACGTCTGGACCGTTTTTTTTTTTTCTCACATTTATAAAGCTTCTCATTAACATTACATCAATACATACATACTTTCTTTTCACAGTGTTGTACTTGGGACCTGGCATGGAAAGCAGACTTCTGATCATTTATTTAGTTCTTTTTTTTCTTTCTGAGAAAAAAACAGAACAGGTGCAAAGTTCGGTCTGCTTCCAAACCTCTGCCTGAGCCCAGCGTTGTTCTCTGAGGAGAACTGTGAAATGGAGGAAGGAAACGTGTCACAGGTTTCTCGGGTTGTTGGTACGGGTCTGTCTCGGGTTGCTTGAGGTGGAGGGGGAGCTGTACGTGCGAACGCTGCGACAACCCCCTCTCCCTCCCTGCTCCTCTGCCATTGAGCCTGCGGGCCAGCCAGGCCTTCAGAGCTCACCCCATCCAACAGATGTTCCTGATGGGCCAATGTTCTTCACCCCAGGCTGAACCACTGAGCCTGCCTCTAACAGAACCCTCTCCAGATGCACTGCCTGTTCTCATTTAGATGATGTACATATAATGAATGTATTCAGTTTAATTAGAGCCCAAAAAATCATGCTTGGCCTGTCTGTTGTCAGTACAATGGAAAGAGTCATTCCAGCTTCAGTTCTGCTGCTGCTTATCCAGTTGAAAGCTGACGGGGAAACACAGGCAAATACAGTAATGTCTAACAGTTTCTGGTCAGTTAGCGTTTATTTGCTAATATTGCAACACATTGAAATAATTTTAATCCAATGTTTAGTGATTTTATGTATGTCAATATGTTCGTATATCCATTTTTTAAACTCTTTGAGGAAGCCCAGTATTGTTTGTAGATCCCATCCAATACCTAATTTATATAATCAGTCTTTCATTATGTTAAAGGGTGCTGGTGATTTGATGAATCCATGAAGGTAAAATTTGGAACCCAACTTTGTTCTTCAAACTAGGTCACAACATCTGAACTACTTTTTAAAAGTCAACAAATTCTTGTTACTTTTTACCGATTAATGTTATGATATTATATGCATTTATTCCAAAGCTATATGGTGTTTTTACAAGCATAAACAAGATATTACTGCCAAGATAAATAGTTGTGCACAGTAGTGTACATTCACTGATATAAGATTCATACTGCTGTCAAAACCTTTTTTTTATATCATCTTTTTAAAATCATTTGAAAATGTACACTTTCCTTTTCATTGTGTATACATTTTCTTTTCTCCATTTTTCATTACGAATGGACCATAGAAATGGTTCAAAAAAGGATGAAAACTGTGGTTATAATAAAATCTCTTTAAAGGAGTGTATAAAGCAGGTTCTTCCTTACTTAGTAAAGTTACAATTTCAGATATGATGATTTATCATGACAGTGATGATACTGTAATTCTACAGAGGTAAACTCTGTACTTTCCATATCTCTGCACATGCTTTTTATCATAAAGGCTACAGCAAACAAGCACTAGACTTAAACAAGAAACATGCGTTTACCATTTAGGCCTCTTTTGGGAAACTTCCATGGATGAAATCAGTCATCTTTGTTTTTTTAACATCTAAAAAGTATGAATATGTGTCCAAAAGTTTTAGACACCTGCTCATCAGTGTTTCTTCTGAAATGAAGGGTATTAATCGGGAGTTTGGTCCCCCAAACACAACTCTAAGTTATCCGAAATGAACTGGAAGAAGCTCTCTCACTTCAGAGAATGTGGCTGCACTACTCTACAGCCCAATTCTGGGTGGCTTTAAACCCCTCTAGATGATGCTCAGTATTGGGCACTGGGCTGCTCCAGAGTGTCCCACTTTAGTGGCAATGCTTTTCTATGGAGATAATACAAGCTGTGATTGAATACCTGTGTCAGCACTGGGTCCACCTTGAAGTAGTTTAATTCACTAATTAGTAGGGATGTCTGGATACTTATAGTGACATATAGTGATGTAAGAGTGTGCGTGTGTTGGGGGAAAGCTTACAGGTACACTACTGAAGAAGAAACGCTGGTGAACGTCACAGAATTCTGCCATATCTTACGAGTGCTCAGGAATGAAATGGCCTGATGCTTCAAAGACTTAGTAAAACGTACCAACCTGGATCAATAACACTGGATATTGACCCAGACACTTACATTTGAATTACTACTAGTTACTTACTAGAAACTAGTTAGTTACTAATTAGTTATGTTTTATTTTAAATGATAATCCTTCTGCTACAGTATTATTATGACTTACTTTTTCATCATTTCGTTTTTTAGTTATTCACATTGATTTCATGATTCCTTTTTTGGGTTTAATTGAATTCTGTTCTGTTGTTTTAGTGCCTGGGCTGCTGTGCTGTTGCTCACACCTCTCGCTTTACAGCTGTAACATTTTACATCGAGCCAAAAGGATCTCAAAAAAGAGAAGCCTAACAGACGTCAGTTCCTGATGCTGGAAGTACTATATATAGGGAGCTCAGTACTGGAGGAGAGTTTGTCACCCGAAACGTATTTGTTTTGGAGTTAGGTAACTTGTTATCTAGTTTCGACTTGAGTCATCTTCCTATTTCAGTCATTAATTCAGTGAAAAACACAATGTCTTCAGAAGCTCTACTCAGAAATAGCACAGGTTTCCAGCAAAGGAAAAACAAAAGTGGAGAAAAAAGACAGATGTAAGTTTAGAACCAGCCCACAGTAGCTAAACATATTTTTTAAAAATTGCCTTTTTATTTCTTGTTTTATTTTTGTCAAATATCTGACCTGTTATCTTGAAATAACTTACAATATCAAAATAATGGCTAGAAAAACCAGCACAGACCAA